TTTCAAATAAACAAAATTTTAATAAAAGAAAATCACTAGACTAAAACTTACTGGTAAGAACTAGACACCAGATGTTGACTACACATTATAAAGTCTTGCAGAGTTAACAGAAAATGATAATGCATCACAAAAATGTATATTGGTCCCTATTTTATCAATTCCATTTTATTTATAACACTTCATAATATATCAGCAGATATAGCGTGTGCTGCAAAAATTACAAAGGTGTGGTAACACCTCAATACAGCACTTGTCAGGTAAACTTCCATGAGAACAGGAAAGCAAACCCACGTGTGGTGCTAATTACAAAGTATGAGCACTGGTAGAGTTTGAGGATATAGTAACAGTCCAAAGCAATAATGCGCACAACATCACTACTGCAGTCATGGGTCATGACTAGGGAACAATATTGTTATTACAAACAGAGAAATAGGATTTGAAACTTGGCCTGGGAGACTGGATGAAAAGAAAAGGCTGCAAGGCCAAGCAAGTGCTTTTACTTTGGAAACGCTGGCAACAGTTATTCAGAAAAAGCTATACCATTCATCGATTTTCTTTTTTTTATATCCTTCCAGGCAATACAGCTTTCTCCGATGCACTACAACAAAAATAAAAAACAAGGGAAAAAGGGGGGGGGGCACGACCATAGTTTGAACAACTACTATGAGATTAGGAGACCAAAGCAGCAAAAGCAAACTGGTTCATTCAGATTACTTGCAAAATGGAAGGAAGGAAAATAAGTAGCACTGCAGTAGTTGAATACGGACTAGTTAAGAATGTTTCTTGCTACCTGCTTGTCACCAGCTTTATTTTGCAAAGAGTTTTCACTGGAAATTAAATAATCCTGATAATCTGAAAGATGGATTTTTTTTTGTCTACGAATACTTGGGGTGTGCTGCTGGGACGCTTTCTGGGTTTGCATTGCTTTATCTTTTAAGCGAGTACAAAACTGTTTCAAAGCTTGATACCCTGCTTTTAATGCCAGGTTTTTTCATGAAGTACAGTCAGATGCTGTAAATGAGCTTCCCAACCCAAATTCAAAGCAGCTGTTACCACAGTCTCCCTCCATAATGGCTGAACAAATAGTATATCCATTAGAACAGTTCAGATTTTAAGAACAGAAGAGTTCCACTGGTTTGCTATGACTGTAATACAGCCCGTCTCCATGGAACAGCTGACACACCTCCAACATTCAAGAAGTTCAGTGCTCAACCTTAAAGCATCTTCACTGAAATGGAGAACGCCAAAGGATGACAACTGGATTACTATGGCAGAATTTTTTACTCTTGAAATCTCTCTTGAGATGTTTACTGTGAAGACAAAATCTACTTTGAAAGAACCTAAAGTTGCCCTGATTTACAAACCAAACACAAGCCTTTCCCCCTCACATCTACAAGCATACAGAAGCCAAGTGCATGAAAGAAAATTATCATTAGAGTTTATATGAACCACAAACAAATAAAACCATTTGCTCCTTAACTAGTGCAAAAATTGCATTTTGATTCTCCACTTGAACAGCCAAGTCCCAAATATATGACTACTCCTGTCAGATAACCTGCAGTGCTGACAAATTGAAATACCTTCTTTTATGCCAAGTTAACACTATAAAGCCAACCTGCACCTGATAAATTATATTCCATCTTCTCACAATGTGGCTTTAGGATGATCTTCATTATAGCTTTAAAGTAGCTATTTTAAATAAATACATTCCAAACATACATGAATTTAAACTGAAAACTAGATGTGGTCCTTCATGTGTCTTGGAGTACCTGTGAGGATCTATTCCAAATACAGCGGTCAGAGGACTGTTTTTCCCTCTACAGATCCCCTGCTGTTGGGAGTTTCTAGAAAGGCTCTGTAGAATAACATTACTTTCAGTGCTGATCTAGGCACTAGATCTACAAATTAATTCACTTGGAGAGTCACCTACAACAGATTCCTCTCAGTATTTCACATCTAAGTGTAATGTACACCTGACAGTCACTTTTTACATCCATTTAGACTTTCTTCCTCATACTTCAGAGAAAAAAAAAATGTGAACAACAAGTTGAAAATCCAGCACCATCACTGTGTTAGTTACCGCAGAATATGCCAGGAGGAGAAATAAAATACTTTTTTTTTTTTTTTCCGGTCTGAACTGGATCCAACTTAAACAAGAAAAAACATACATTTTGAGGAGGCATCACCTATCTCTGTTTACTGTCTCTTCGATGAAGACAGCTGACAGAGCAAATGGTTTTAGTGCTTCCGGGTCTACTCCAGCCTGAAGTCAATTGGGTGAGCGGTGAAGGTCCAGCCAAGGCAGCAAACCGTTATGCTGCAGCAGACCGGCATCAGTCGCAGAATCTGCTAAGGCACTCTGCTGCAGAAGCAAGCTCTAAGGACAGTTCTCATTCTAACCGTACCCACAAGAGGACATCTGACACCACTACAAGACAAAAGTCTTAAACTATAACACATACCCTCAAAAAATACCAGCAAAACCAACTTGCTACCTTCTGTTGGCCACAGCCAACTACAAAAGGCTTTATAGTTGCTGGAAAACAAAAAATTCTATCTTGGTGCTTTCCTCAGAAATGAGCATCAAGACAGAACAAAGGAACGAGCGTATCTCCCTGCTGCTGCAGAAAACAGAAGAAAAAAAAAAAATGCCAGAAGCCAAGAGACTTACACAGGCAAAAGGTTCACTCAGCTCGTGTTGTACCACCCTCCTTCCTATACATCTATAAACTGAGGACAGGTGAGCTTCCTTGGCCAAGGACATCTTTTATTTCACATACTTTTCACCCAAAAAGAAAACAAATACATAAATAAACGATACAGAGGAAGAAAGCTGAGAGCCTGGGAAGCTTGAGGAAGCCTCATACAAAAACACAACTATAAAACATCTTACTTGGCCTCATTTTCCTGGAGCGCCCAGAAGGCAAAGAGAAACCACACTAACCCTTTCTGTTCCTACATCTATGTGTTTAGGAAGCAAAACTGCAGGTTCCTAATTCACTCTCACTGGTGTCTATAACAGAATCTTCCATAGACAAATAATTGTGCATTAATTGCAAATAGCAATTGCATCAAAGAGCTCTGTCTTCTCTTGTGTATTCAAACACATTGCTTTGCAAAGCCTTTAACAAACAATAATGTGATGCTGATACAAGTCTCAATCTTCAGAATGACAAATAACTGTAAAGGGAAAAAGCTTCTCAGATCCATATTCTCTGTACAGATATACTTTGATCACCATTTGATTAAACTCAAAAACATGTCGTCCCCCCTCAGAAAAGTTTATGAAGCACAGATTATATCAACTTCATCCTAGGTACATTTCATTTTGTAGCCTGATAATGCTCCAAGGAAGAAATCCCTGTACAAAGCCTACCACAGTCAGGACCTGAGCTCAGAGGAAAAGGGACTGATGTCATAAAACGCTTCTATTCTCAATTTGTACTCTTTGTCCTAACTACCTTGGAAATGACCCAAACAAGGCATTTTGTTTTCAAATTTAGCATAAGCGATTTTGTAAGTTATCAAAATATAAACTGCTTGCTTCCAAAAAAAATTCTGGGCACCTCTGTGTTCTTCCTACAGCTATCTCCTATTGATCCCTGTTATAAAAAGACAAAGTCAGGCAGTAAGCTAACAGAGCACTGCTATATATTCCAACGTGATTTAAGATGTGCTTCTACATGAAGTCCAGAAAACCTCTCACACACCGAATGTTATGTGCTCAGTATGGATTCTTTCCTTACTTTTCTACTTCAATTAAAAAAAAAAAAAAAAAAAAACAAAAAAAAAAAACCAAACCAAAAACACCCACACCACACAATTTGGGCTGGAACATCCAGGCTTCTCCTCAAGTCTTCTAGAAGTACCAAAATACATTTGAAGTTCAGGTAAATGGATAAAAGGTATCTTGTTTGTGACTTATCGGATATACTGCAAACATCTCAGGGGTTCTGTTTACATTGAATGCTACTTGTTGTGGATGGTTTCAGCAACCAGAAGAGACCAATATCCCACATGGTTTAGTAAAATGAGGAGAGCACCCCTTAAAATGAATGGAAAACGTCACTCTTGAAGTTCCCAGCAGTCTAAGTAATGCACTGCAAATAAGAAAAAAACCATGCAAATAGCTAATCCTGGATATTTACATAATCAATAGTATAAGTAAGTAATCATGGACAAGTAGGTAATGATATCTCAGAGATTAAATAACCAGTATCATCAAGCCATAAAACCAGGGAGTTAATTGTGAGATACCTCCACGAATGTGGGTGGAGGATGCTACTCTACAAATTCCCATTTGGTATTTCAGTTGGAATCCAAAGGGAAATTCATGAAGCAACAAGTCAGCGTCTTCCTTTTTGAAACCAGTCACATAAACAGGGAAAAGATGAACATCACAGTAAAGGTTACAGGAGATCAAGGTGTATAAAGCACAGGTAGTTATATAAATTGCCTCTTTTGAAATCTGTAACAAGATCAACACTCCAAGTAATTTCAAGCAGAAATCAGGGTGACAGCAGGTTTTGAAAGGCCTGCTGAATGGAGTCATCATTCACCCACAGCCGAAACTGTACTTTGAGCCACAAATGAAGCCCAATAGGAACTTCTGACAATGTAGGGCCAGGGGGGAAAAGCAAAAAACATCTTTTTGTAGTAAATAGTCTTTGTACTTTCCAATACTCTTCATTTTTTCCTCAAATTGTGGTTACCATATTTTGGAAAAATATTTATGTTGATCAACTGAAGAAAGCCATTTAACATATTTGCAAATCAAGGGGAAAAAATAATTGTAAATTCAACCATCATTTAGTCCGAGATGTTGTCACCTTCAAGAATTTTAAAATACTAAGAATCACACTATTCAAAGATTTTAAATAATTTCTACTTAGTCTACATAAAATATCACGTACTATAAACCAAACTGATTACAAAAAAGTAAAACAACACTAAATTGTTCCCTGTTTTATTACAGTTATATTGTTTGTCATTTCACTTACCCATGCTTCGTGCCATATATCTCCTTTTCTTTTCCTTTGCCTTTCTCTTTTACTTTTTCTTTCTCTCTGCCTTTACGCCGCTCTCTTTCGCGAGACCCGCTATGAGTTCTCCTATGACTGGATCTTTCACTACTTCGACTATAAGAACGTTGACGAGGTCTTGATCGTGATCTACACAAAATCCATAGTATTAAAATTTAGCAGTCATACATTTTGCACTGTCACTGTATGTTAGATTTGTTATATAGTCCAACTATTTTAAACACATTTTCAAATTGTTTAGTAATTTAAGACTTTTAAAGAAAAACCTGCCAAGTTATCAAAAGTGAAAAAGAAAGCATTGCTCCTACTCTGAAGGAAGAATGCAAAATGAATTAAACCACACTACATACATTCGCCCATTCACAAAGTAATATGGTATTACTGAAGCAATCTTTGGAGCTATTGGAGAAGGAAGGAAGTTTTTCTTGAACATTAAACTTTAAATTCTTAAGTTCTGATCAGTTTAGCTTGGCAAATAATTAAAGAATTTACAGCTGTTGCTAAGTGCTTGTATTTACATATTAAATAAATTACTAATAACAATTCTATGATCCTATGTTCCAACAGGAACCAGAACACACAGAAGCGACGTGCCTGAACCTCCACCTTTAGCCTGCAGAGCTGACACTTGCACACAGCTTCTTAATATCAAATTCAGATTTGAAACACACATCGCAGAAAACCCAAAAATAAAAAACCCTGCAGGCCCAATAATGCAAGAAACTGCATACAGGTGCAAGGGTTTGTGCAATATTTGGTTCTTTGTTACGTGACTGTAGGATACTCTGTCCTCAGTTGTGTTATACATTCCTCCGTGATAAATGCATGTTGTTATGGATATACTTGAACGAAGAAAGATCAGGTTGTATTATGATATGACTGTTCCTATACGTATCCAAAAAACCTTTTTTTCATTATTCCTGAATCTCCTTTAGAATATTTTCTAAATTTTAATTTAGAATTTATCATGGATCAATACATCTTTTCTATGGTACATGAGTAGCTACAGACAATGAATATTTAGGAAAACAGCCGTTCAAGTTTGCATTAGTTTCTATTACAACGTATATCTTGATAAAAGTTCTGATGGCACCTCATTGAAAAGTTTCATTAAGTACTAAGAAGGTTGGGGAGGAAGGGCATTTTTTTAGAACAGTATAAAAAATTTATTTAGCACCTCTTGGAGTACAAAACTCCAAAGACCTTTAAAAGCAAAATCACGTACAAACGATCACTCAATTTAAAAGGCAAAAACTGTTTAATAAAACTCAACAATAGAATAAGCAAAAGAAAATACTGCATCCAGATGAAGCTATAAATTACATTTAGGAAGAATGTTGTTATTGAGTCTGGAATTTGTCCAGCATTCTGGGGTTAAGGTACCTATTCTTGCCATTGAGCCTTTCAGACTAGCGCTAGAGGTCAGAACCCCAGTTTTACGTTTCATTCAGCAGATGGCATCTCTTGCAACACAGTATCTCCCGTTATCGGTCACACTATTAGCACTAATACAATAGATCAAATTACCACTTAAGCGGCGTATTATGAACTATAGAACGTTTTCTGTCTCAAAATGGGTTTTTATTATGTCATCGCAAATTAAAAAGCATCCATCCGTTCTTTAGTTCTCAGATAGAGAAAGTTTTGACTTAAAAGAGTATTCTGGATATTAATATATTTTTGTGGTTGGCACAGAGACACCAGTTTTACAAGCACTGTGATGAGGCAGGCACAGACAGACCGCTGCCCTGCGGACATTCACTATTCAAAGGTAACCGTGATTTCTGGGAAGGCCGCAGGTAAGAGGCAAAGTCAGAAACAGTAAAAAACACAAAACCAATCCACAAAAAAAAAAAAAAAAAAAAAAAAGCCCTGTAGCAAGACAAATCACCTTCATTTGATGCAAGGCCTCTCCTTACTTAAGGGTGTAGTCCTTCAAACAGAAATAACTGAGGAATCTAAAATACTTATTGCTAGAGAGCTTACTTGCTCAGCTCAAATTTGAACTTGATTTCACATCTACCTTGCTGCAAATAACAGTCAGTCCAGATTAGCTGGATACTCAAATCCTGGATTTCCGTTCATTTACACGTCTAAGTAGAACAAACAGCAGGTATAATTTATATACAGAAAAAAACAGCTTTTAAAAACTAAAAGTAGACTTGTTGCATCAAATTTGTAATAATGTACTTTTAACAGCACTGACAAACTGATAAACATTTTCCTTGCAGAAGCTGTCGCTGTTCTTTCATTTGCAATCTTTTGCACCCATAAAACTCATCAGCCTAAAGTGTTCCCTAATCTTTGTTTATCCTTTGGGTTTTACAATTACAGAAAACAGCTGACACAGCTTGCCTTCCCTGTCCCAGTCACGCAGGTGAGGCAGGCAGGTGACTAGCAATGGGATATTACAGCGAAGATCTTAACAAAAACATTAAGTTCTACTGTGCAGAAGCCATCTCTGTGGGACTCGTCAGTGCAGTCAATCCCTCAATTATCAGAGCCGTTGATCTGGGCTGCAGATCAGCCCTGAGCACAGATGCAGACAATCTGGAATTGGCTTCATGCAGGGACAAACAGAGTTTGGTCAGACTTGTTAGCTCAGATAACAAGTTAGCACGCGTAGAAGGGTCTTCAGGGCAGTTCAGGTGTCAAGCCTGGCTACACCTCCGTGGGCTGCAGACCCCCAGCCTAACCCAAACTGGCTGCAATGCCCTATTTTAGGGCATCTAGAGAGGGAACAGTGTAGAAAAAAAAGTGGATCTAGTGTATTCTGCTGCACCTGAATCAACTTGCAGAGTCTTTCCGATACTTTTATTCTGCAGTAGCCAAGATGCACGCAGGGTTTCTTTGCTTGGTACAGGGTGGAGCAGCCGAGACAGGAGGGGCTGAGCGGTAGGGATGAGCACACCCCAACGCAGCCTCTCGATGCAGCACCAGGTAAATAAACACCAGCCACACTAACCTGTGATGGATCCGCACAGAGACACAGCCTAACCTCCTCCGAAGAGGAGTTTTCCTGGGTTTTCCATCATTGTACAAAGTTCTTGGCAAATATTTAATTTTTCATTACTTTCCCATAAAACTGCAGAGCTACGGCCCTCCTGAATAAAACTAACTCTGCCTGCTAAGTTCATTGTGCTTGTTTATATTGATTACAGATGGTATTTATAAAACACAGATAAAGCAACACAACTCCAGAAATACAGAAAGATGTACTAACCCCAGCCATGAATGGGGTAAATAAATAAGGAAAACTGAGGCACAGACAAAAGGAACAGTCTAACATTATTGCTCCCTTCAATCCCCGAATGCTAGTGAAACTCGGGCTCTGGTTAATCATTTTTAAACTGGGGTAACGACTGTGTTTCCAGTGTTGTACAGCAATTAATATCTTTGAAAAAGCTTGACTTGTATTAAACATTTCTCCTTCGCAATCTATCCAAAGTCATAGTAATGGGGGACTACTAGAAAAACCACTAAGCAACTACAACACAGTTTTATAACAAATTTAAGCTGAATCTCAACTCTTGTTTAAGTCTTCTGCTAGAATGAAAAAAATCCTAGGGACTTCTCACACAAGTAGAGGCATGAAAATTTTAGAATATATTTGCTTAGCTATCTAAGTAAGGGCTTGATATGAGTTAAGACATATTATGCAGTTTTACCACATTTTGATGAAACAAAGGAAGCGCAGAGACTAAATACTTTAAGATAACAGACATAAGATGGCAAAAATAACAAAATCTGCAGTATAATTCTCTAGAACAATTTTGAAAAGCTGGACATGAGCCGGCAATGTGCGCTGGCAGCCCAGAAGGCCAACCGTACTCTGGGCTGCATCGGGAGAAGCGTGGCCAGCAGGTCAAGGGAGGTGATTCTGCCCCTCTACTCTGCTCTGGTGAGACCTCACCTAGAGTACTGCATCCAGCTCTGGAGCCCTCAGCACAAGAAGGACATGGAAGTGTTGGAGCGGGTCCAGAGGAGGGCCACAAAAATGATCCGGGGGCTGGAGCACCTCTCCTATGAAGACAGGCTGAGGGAGTTGGGCTTGTTCAGCCTGGAGAAGAGAAGGCTGCAGGGAGACCTGATTGTGGCCTTTCAGTACCTAAAGGGGGCCTATAGGAAAGAGGGGGAAAATCTTTTTAGTAGGGCCAGCTGTGACAAGACAAGGGGTAATGGTTTTAAACTAAACCAGGGTAGGTTTAGACTAGATATAAGGAAGAAATTCTTTACACTGAGGGTGGTGAAACACTGGAACAGGTTGCCCAGAGAGGTGGTGGAGGCCCCATCCCTGGAAGCATTCAAGGCCAGGTTGGACGGGGCTCTGAGCAGCCTGATCTAGTTAGCGGTGTCCCTGCTCCTGCAGGGGGGTTGGACTAGATGACCTCTAGGGGTCCCTTCTAACCCAAAACATTCTATGATTCTATGAATTTTATCTTACGATAAATTAAGTCCTGCCAGCAATACTTCTAAAACTGAACTGGAACTAACAGAGCGCCAGCAATAAACCATGTAAGAACTGCTGAGCTAAGGCAGGTAAGGCCACGATCTTCTTTGCTTAGGGACATGGTTTAGCGGTGGGATGGCAGGGTTAGGTTAACGGTTGGACTTGATGGTCTTTTCCAACCTAAATGATTGATTCTATGATTGATCTCTGCTAGCGCGTGCACTCTGAAGAGCTCTCAGTTTCTACGAAGTGCCATGGGAAACAATGATCAGCTACGACTGAAGGAAAAGCCACAATTACACTGATATACTGAGGGGACGCTGCATCACTTCCAGAATGCATGAAACCCACCTCTTCAGGCTGTGAAAATGGGCAAGCACCCATACGTATAGGGAGTCTGCAGTGCAAGTCTCACAGGGACAACTGGGAACTGCAAAACACTTAGGAAAATAAAAAGGCGATGGTTTTTGCCTACAAGCAGGTTTTGCCCTGAATTCATCAAAAAACAAAATATGAGCTAAGTCTTCTTTCTCCCTAAACTGAAAAGCTTAAGGAAGGGACTGACCAAAAGAATATGTAGAGACTCACTTTATCTTTTAAAAAAGGCGTAAGATGTAATCTTAAGGGGGGGGAAGTCAAGCATTTTAAAAATGAGAACAAAAATGAGACTATTGATTCA